AATGTTAGCGAGTTTAAAAGATTCCGGGTAGCCTGAGAGCAAGACGTCATTGAAGAGTTCCAAGAGGTATATCCGGTTTTGGGGGGAAAGCCATTTGAGAAGTTCTGAGCAGCAGCCATCTGGTCCAGGAGCTTTGTTGTCTTAAGTTTAGAAAGTACAGCGTTACAGCATCTAGCTCTGACAGGGTAAAGGGGGTTTCATCCATGTGAGAGTCACCATTAATAAGTGGCGTATTTTCTTTGTTTGGGTCCATTGCGCAAAGTAATCCGCTGCTGTTTCCGGAAAATCATTTTCACTGTGTTTTTGAATTTGAAGCGCCTGGGTTGAAATGGTTTTCTTGCCGTTCTGAGTCCCGCCAATTGATATCCATCCTTGTCCATGGCTTCCAACTCTTGCAGAGTAGCACGTTCTTTATCTCGGCGAGCAAGAGATATGATAATACCGTATACCAGTAAGTCGTTCAAAATGCCCTTCACGCAGTTGCTTATCTAGAATGTTTTGCCACGTCTCAGCCGATAAGTATGTTTTCTTTTGTGCAGAGGGTCTACTAGGGAGGGTAGCATTACCAGCGTCTATAAGATCGCGCGCTAAGGTGTCGAAAGCAGTCATGGCATCCCACTCACCCCTGCATTTGGCAGAACAAATTTTCGTATGAACAAGGGCATTATATAGTAGTAACAAGTGCCTTACTGGTAGTAACAAGAAGCTACTTGGAACAAGTGCATCGCTAGTAGTAACAAGTGCCTTACTACGAGTAACAAGAAGCTTTACCGCTGCAGGGTCTCGGAATTTTGGAGCACTGCCGCGGCGTTGTTTCTTTGAATGCTTAGAGGCAAAGCGAACATGCATGTCGGCAATGAGCAGAGCATGATCTGAGAATAGTTTCATGTACGGTTTCTATATTTCTGACATAGTGTTGTTCCATCTGTTGTTGATAAGAATAGAATCCATCTGAGATTGTGTCAATGAGTGTACTCCGGACAGGTCAAAATGTGAGGTAGTAGTATCTTTGTATGTGGCAAGCGCCGGTGTGGGTTTTTCAAACCAAGTGTTCACAGGAATCATGCAGTGAGTCAAGCAAAACTCTGAAAACAATTGTCGGTTCTGTTTTTGCTGCTCACTCAAAACGTCTATGGATGAGTCGTTCTTACGGTAATATGTGTTTTCCTGTTATGTGCGATTCTTCAGGAAGCAATTCCAGCAGTCTGGCGTTGAAATCTCCCAATATGAGGTTGATTTCGTGGCAACTCCATGCGCTCAACTGTTGAGAGAGCTTAGCATAATGCGTGCTTTTGTCAGGAAAATTGTGTCCTGCATGCGGCGAGTGCGTAGCAATCAAATTAATATACAGTAAATGGGTTCCGTACCAATCTGAAGGGAAATGTTTTTATTGTCGACGGCCCGTATGTCAAAAACAAGACTAGGTTGGCGCTTCAAAACAAAGGCGCACCCAAGTTTCTCTGCACTTTGTTGTCTGATGCGCACACTTTCTCTTTGAGCATCGGCAAACGGGATTTTTTCTAACTTTACTTCCGCATTGTAAGCACTGAGTTCAGCGTCTGTTTTAACCCGTGCATCATCTTCAATGTCACTTGAGAAATAGAAGGTGTATTTTCCTATTGATTGTTTACCGATATAATTGACATGGGTTTCCAGGAGGGCAAGAAGATCTAGCTCGTGCTTGTCCATCAAGTATACAATCTGCTGTCTAGCTGTAATGAAGTTCATACCTCGAACATCGAAAGTAGCTTTGCGTAACTTCTTCACATTGGCATTGTGTTTTATTGCTCTCGCTTTCCGGTTGCTGACCACTCGCAGGTTCACTCCGGAGTGGCTCAGGTGTTTCTTCCAACGTATATTCAGTAGCTAAGATTTGTTCTTGAGCCAGGGAGAGTTTGGCTGGACGCTTGGCCAGAGCCTTCCAGCACGACCTCACCCTTCTAAGTTCATGACGGTGCCTAGAACGTTTTTGTCTTCGGTTACATTTAGTTAAAATTCTTTGCGAAAGTGAACGTTGTCCTCTCTTATGCGAGCGTTTTGGGTGAGGGGGGGTTCAGAGCTCTTTTGGTTCACGCACCGTCCCTGAAAACATAAGCGTGGCTCCCGCCGTACCAAGTGGCTGGGGGTAGAGCTAGGCTGTGTGCAACTATCGCTTTTCGAAAAAGGGTAGTAACGTTTTTTGATCATTAGCAAAACCAACTGCAGGTGAAGCCAAAGCATCCACCGCAGTAGGTAACAATCGGTGACGATACATTCGGCGATGAGGCTTTCGATGATGAGATTTTCGGTGACGAGACTTTAAAGGGTGATCCGATGTCCTGTGGGAGTTTGGTTTGTGCGACTGCAAAATTGTGTAGCTAAAAGCAGGCCACTACGTCATATGCGCGAATTGCTCCGTCTTATTGTTTTCCCGTTCTCGCGCCAGAAGGCGGAGTTCCTACAGCATCATATCTGGAAGCAGGATGCGTTTTGCAAGCCTGCTGAGGTGTTCCGAGTACTTGGGGTAAAACTCTGTCTGTGGAATGCACCTACCTTCAACTGCAAAGGGCACTTTGGTTCTCAATGTCAGCGAAGCTATTTTGGTGTATGAACCTTTGCCTTCAGTGGTGAGACCTACTGCTTTCAGGAAGTCATCCGGGGTCAGTTCTCCTTCTCCACCTTTGCCTTTGCCCTTGCCTTTGTGTCCGATCGCCTTCTTGGTCAAGAAGGTTCCGTAGGTGATTTTGAACTCGTCTTCAAACAGCGTGGCGTCAAAGTACCGGCGGTCTACATAAATTTTGGCGACTGCATCAAGGTGGTCGATCGCGAGCCATGCGATGTATTCATCATTTTCTGAGTCTTGGAGTGTGGGGCGCTTCCAAGAAGGCTTCCATTTGAGGCTTGGGGCCTGTTTTGTGATGACTGCAATGATTGCTTTCAATGGTTCTGTTCGCACACGACCAAAGGCAGCAATGCAAGGCTCGAGCTTGATCACGCCGTTCACCTCTTCTTTGTTGTTGCCATTGGTGAGGCCCTTGAGCTTGTCGTTAGACCATTCCTTCATGCCCTTCTTGTCAAACTTTTGGTTGTACCATTCCATCAGTTTTTTTTCCCGAATGCGTAGCGAAGGGTTCCCGTTTATAGTTGGGGGTCTGGGGGTTGGAGCTGTGTTCGCGTGGCTTGCGTCGTGTCGTCGTCTCTCGTCGTCTCTCGTCGTCTCTCGTCGTCGTCGCGTCTCAAATTTGCTGCCATTGGGGGAAGCTTTTGCAAGTGACTTTGCATGGATGTGTCACGTGTCAGTTTGCGCCGCTAATCCATTGTGATTTGCGTGACACGGACATGTCGCGCAAGAAACGTGATGCATTTCGCTGCACAGGCGCAGCGTTTTGTGAGATCCGCAGTTTGCTGCGCAGTGCCATTGGGATTAGCGTTTGGAGAGTCGTGTTGTTGGGGTGTTGGATGTGGCCGTGCCATTGGGATTTGCGTTTCAGGGTGTGGCATCGAAGCTCGGTTTTCGTGACAAGTCTCAGCTGAAATGGCGATTTTGGTGGATGGGAGTGTGCTCTGAACGGGTCGAAATCATTCCAAACGTGTGGTGTGGTGCAAATTTTGTTGAAGCTCACATGCGATGATATTGTCACTTTTCGTGGCAGGCGCAGGACTTCGTGCGGGTTTTGAGGCGTGGAAGTGCGATTCTCGTGGCAGGCGCAGGGAATCGTGAGGTTGCGAGGTGTGAGGGAGGTGACATTTCGTGGCAGGCGCAGTACTTTGTGCGCGTTAGACGTGTGGATGGGGAAAGACTCGTGGCAGGCGCAGGGAATCGTGAGGTTGTGAGTTGTGGTAGAGGTGAATGTCGCTGTCCCATTGGGATTGGCGTGTGAGCGGATGTTGTTTGGAGGGGCTGGAATCGCGAAACTGCTTGGCAGGGCTGCGTGATGTGTGTGTGCTCCGATGGGTGTTTCCGCTTGACTTTTGGAGGAAGTCTCGTACGAAACGCTCGTTTTGCAGACTTTGACGTGTGAGTTTTTGAGGAAGTCTCGAACGAAACGCTCGTTTTGGAGACTTGACGCGCAACCCTCTGCGGAGATCGTGCGCGTCGAGTGTGCGAAATGCAGGCCAGAGTGCGATTTGACCCATGCGCGCGCAACCCTCTGCGGAGATCGTGCGTGTCGAGTGCGCGAAATGCAGGCGAGAGTGCGATTTGCCCCATGCGCACGCAACCCTCTGCGGAGATCGTGCGTGTCGAGTGCGCGAAATGCAGGCGAGAGTGCGATTTGTCCGGTGCCCGCGCAACCCTCTGCGGAGATCGTGGGTGTGGAGCGCGCGAAATGCAGGCGAGCACTGGCGACTTTGTAGTACAACTTGAGTACGCGGAGCAATCTGTGGAGCTGGAAGCTGAGAACTGGCGACCTTGTAGTACAACTAGATCACCTTGTACATACTGGGTGGGGGGTTACACCCCCCATTTTATAGATATAAAATGGTGCAGCCAACCCTCAGAGGGATATATTTTGAAGATCCTGACGTACATGCTAAAAGTATATTTTGACAAGACCAACGTCAAAATCTCAAGCTCTGAAGCACAAGAAGCTAGCGCAATCAGCCTTCTTTTGCTCTCCCCAACAGCATTGTTTCAGTCTGTTCTCAGACAAAGTACCCCAGTTCCCAAAAGCTTCCTGGAGAATCAAGACTTCTATGCTCAATATGTCTCATACAGCAAATTCTATAGGCTCCAAAAACAACCTATCCCTCAATATGGTTTAAAAATACATAAAAAACAAGACGAAGCGGAAGCAGAGGCGGCACCTGTGATGGCATATGTCACTTGAAACTGTTTGGACTGGTTCTACGAAAGTACATGAAAGTACAAACATCTAACAAGTGACTCATCGCAGATCATCACGTTTTCATGATGTTTCATGCAATGTCTGCGGATACCGATGATTCCATCTCTTGGCTGTGTCTTTTCAGACACAAACCACCCACATAGGCTTTCATCGGCCAATGGAACCAAATCTATTCTACTCTGTCTCATCCCTGAACTCACAAAGGTCTCGAATCCAACGCAGCCACATGGTCCGCACAGGCGGAGAACTTGAAAGCTGTGCTCGAATCTGCTGCAAATGCGTGTAGACCTTGCGAGCCCATACGAGGCGATTGCGGGTGGTGAACGAGTAGCTGAAGAATTTGGGAGCCTTCTGCAGAATTCCCGTCCTGGTTTGCCCAGCAGCAGAAGCACACCTTGGCACGGTTACGGCATGTTACGGCTACAGTATGTTTGGATAAACTTCAAACATCTTCAAACAATGTTTGAAAAAACGTTGATAAAAAGATCAAAGAACAGTTGACCTGGCAAATCTAGGCGACTGCAACCTACATACTCCTGAATCAGCGGCAAAGGCAGGCTTTGTGGGGAACCGGGCGTGATCCAGTTCCATCAGGGATTCTGTCTGTTCACGAATGAGTTGGTAGCCTCGTGCGGACCTGCTGTAATTCTTCTCAATGTTCTCAATCAGCGCCTTCTTCTTCTTGATGGTGCTCTTGACAGGCGCCTTTGCTTTCTCTTTCACCTTGTGTGAAATCACCCTGGCAGAAGCCTTGGCGGCGACTTTGAAAAACAACCTTTGCCTCCGGAAACGTGACCGAGACAACTGAGCTGCTTCCATCCGCCACTCACCTGCCACCATTTTCTTGGAATCCTGAATCATAGCCAAAGACGTACCAGTGAGAGTCACATAGAACTGGTCAACCATTTCATGCTCCTTGCGTGAGCCTCAGCAAACGCGAACAACCCTGTACTATAAAATGGCTAGCCCAACCTACAGGGTAGGTTTAAAATGGTAGCATGACATAGCATTACCATGCTTTCTAGTGTCGATTGGTTTTGTCTATATATTATTTATTACAGTATCATTTTATACAACAGGCTGGAAACATCCCAATCATGTTGATATTGTTGTGCATTTGAAGGTTGGCCCAGTCATTTTATAGTGACAGAATGTGAGAGAATACGAGCCTGATTGATCAAACTTATATTTTTGTTTGATGGTTTATTGTATTTAAAAATATTGCTTTTTTGCGTCCAATAGACTCTCACCGGCGCAATCCAAGATCGCAAACAAAGCGTCAAACGGGTGCACCTTGCAATCACTAGTGGCATTGCATGTCATCTCCACTGGATTCTCCTCCAAACCACCAAAAATCAAAAACAAAACAAACAATATAATATAATATAATATATAAAATACTATATATCCTGTCAAATCCTTTTCATCAGACACATCTAACAAAGTTATATCAAAATAATTCAAATTCAAATATAAAACCAAAACAATCACTGAAGAATACTCCGTCCTTGCAATGCTCCAGCTTCACAACACGGAAGGCGGCCAAGGATCCAATCTCACAAGCAAGTGGTGTGACCCGTTTCTTCTTACCGCCCTTCCATATGGTTGTCACCAGTCCTGGGTGCAAGTTTCCATCCTCGGAAACGTAGAGGACCAAATTGCCCGACCTAAGTTTGTCTTCCATCCCTGTACTTCATTCAAGCGGTCAGATTTTGTTGGCTAATATAACATCAACATACATCAACAAACAAAGAAAGGTTCTCATGATAATGCGTGATAATGCCAAGCTGCTCCAAAGCTGTTGGCTGCGCACAGGGCATTGAAAACTTCTCCCGCAGAGATTCACTTTGCCGCAACCAACGCTCGAATCTTGACGATCTCGCTCCCTGCCGCAACGTTGGGTTCTCACGCTGGGCAGCCTTTGCCAAGGTCGACAAGTTGGATTGAAACCAGCCTGGCTTCCTGGATTTGCGTCCAACATGCTTGATCCACTGTGAATCGCAGCCGTCCGGGACCACACGGAGATAGTAGCAAAGCCGATACAAAGCGTTCCAGCGTGAGCCTCCACAATGCCTCATATCTCAAGCAAACTGAGCACTCAAACATAAACATTCATGAAATATCATGAACAACAACCAACATGACAAAACAAACCAAAACAATCTCCAGTTGACCATTGTAGTATATTGTAGTACAAAGAAAATCAAAGAAATATGCTGATAGCATCTGAAAGCTAAAAGTTATGGATTTGCTGAGTTGCAAGGCTGCTTGTAGCGTTGTGGGAAACTTGCCATTGCCAGACAACCTTTTGGGCGCGTCTTCGGCGATCTCTGTCAGGACCTGCTTCTTCTCCTCCTCAGCAAGCCTGCTCATGTTCATGTCCGCATCAACGGCAGAAGGATCAGAAGGCTGAGGCTCCTCCATATCAGAAGCTTTGTCATCAGCACCCTGGATCAGGTCAGACACTCGCGACAAGGCATGGTTGCACAGGTCTTTCTGATTCCTAAGCATTTGGCGCTGCGAGGTGTACTGTACTGAACGGCGGTCATCCAACAGACCAAAAACACGTCAATAAATACGGCAGTAACATCCAGTAACATCCAGTAACCGTGTTCCCAAAGTTGATACAGTACCTCCACCCACTTAAATACCATCACCATCCATCACCTACCCCACAAAGCATATGCTTCAAGTTGCGGATTGCGAGCTGCCATCGCCTGCTCGTTGTCACTCTCAGCATCATTGTCTTGGAACTCTGGTGCAGCCTGCTGCATTGTCTGGAACCAATTTACTGAACAGCTATCGATGTAGTACTGTTTCAGCGAGTCAACTTCGACGTTGGCCGCCCATGCTGTGAGTTCAAGAGCAGATGCAAAAGCTCGATGGCAACAATCTACAAACCTGGTTTCCAAAGTCTTTCAACATAAAACAAAACAAACAACAGAAACGCATTCCATAACAATGTAAACGTCTGGAGGTTCATGGAAAGGGCTGCTTGGTAATATGATGTACAGTAACTATTCCAAGAAACCGTTTGTCACTGACAGGCGCTTCCTTCACCACTTTGGCTGCTTTGCTGGCTAGTTTGTCCTTGACTTGCTTCAAAGTCTGCACAGCTGCCGTTCGGATGAAGGATTCTACATCAAGCTCGGCATTCGCATGGGATCTCCTCAAGACACCGAATGCGTGTTCTATAGACAGCTCCGTAATCCTGGATGTTCCATGCAACCATGGCTGGAAAGTCTCCTCAGATTGCAATGAGAGACTATGAGAGACTGGGTCTATTAAAACATATTAAAACACACCGTCTATGAAATGGGTAGGCCCACCCCCTGAAGAACAATAATCATTGTATATATCTCATATTATACATATATATACATATTTAATTTATCATGGCGCCACTGTCCTCGTAGATCTTCAGTGCCAAGCACAAACACATCTATAAAATGATTGTGTCTGACCCCCTTCTGGACAA